CTAAGGCTAGCAGTCTTATTCATACATGTGCTATGTCGTGAACGCCTAGATGAGACAATAGAGCTTGGCACACACAAAATATTGAATAAATATTTTTTGAATGATTGAATGATCTATTTTCTCCACATCATCCTTGTTTGTGTCTACTGGAAGTCTATGCAGGCAGATAACTGCTCTCCTTGGGAATCTACCAGGGTCCTGAGCTGTCCCTTAGCAGCTAGTCACCATCTTACCACCTCCCCACTTGGGTGGATGTAAGGCAGATTGGAAGAGACTTTCTCTTTGGCTAGAGACAGGAGTTTCAGGAGTAGGGCCCCATCAGCTAATCCTTAAACTTCTCCAATGCCTAGAATTAACCCAAGGCTCCTACCCACCCCGTGTCTAGCCACACACTCAAATAGTGTTCCACTGTGTCCCTCTTCCCTTCTCTGGACGACATTGTCCATTGCAACAAGAACAGACAGCATCTTTATATGTTACATGATTTGCTCTTTGTCCTTCAGAATCATTTCTACTCTTGAATAATACATTCTATATTAACATGAAACATTTCTACTTTTCTCACCACTTTAAAAATTTAAAAATCTCTTCTGTTTCCATGGTGATTGTATATCTTGCAAAGACTTTTAACACTCAGTGCTCTTGGACTTACTGGACCCGATGTGGTTAATAATGTTCGGGAAAAGTGTCTTAAACACAAACACGGCAAGATGCACTGATGGTAAGTAATGCAGTTTTAGAGTCCAAAAGGCAGCAGCCCACATTCCAACATCAACTGCTGGTACCATGCAGTGTGTTCTCACAGGAGAGTTCTGTTTTTATCTGTGCACATCCATAGGTTGAAAGTCGGCAAGCAGAAGAGTGACTGTAACTAATCTACTTTCTTCACAGTTTTGTTGTTGGAATAAAGTGAAGTGAAACTGTGAAATGTTATTCGGAGCTTTGTTATCATTTCCATGAAACATGCCCCATTTTTGCACTTCCATGGTGGGACACCAGGACCAGATCTTTGTCCCACAGCAAAAGTGGGAACTCCAAGCTCAATCCCTCTTTATTTCAAACATATGAGCATGTGTTCAGTCATCTTCAATTCTCTTTTTTGTTTTCTTTTTCTTTCTCTTTCTTCTCTCTCTCTCTGTCTCTTTTACCTTCTTTTGTCTTTATGATATTTCAAGTTAAAGAACATTGTTGATGCTGTTACAGATCAATATATATGGACCAGTGGACCAATAAAGAAGTTAGTATATAAAGTGGCTAAAACCCAGTAAAAATATCTAGCTTCTACATGTCTATTTCAATCTGAGGGTGGTACATGTTTTATTTACACACACACGTACACACACATGCAGTCTCACTTAATTCTCCTAAGAGCACAACTCTATAATAATGTTAGGCCCAATTTTTGGATGAATAAACAAACTAGATAAGTTGCTTAATACACACACACACACACACACACACACACACACACACACACACACACACCCCACTATCAGGAGAGGTACGGTTCCTGGTTTGCAGAGTTTTCATCCCCTACAGCAGGAGGGGGAATAGAGACAAAATTCTTATTTGCGGATAACTTGCAAACTCTCTTCATTTTCACAAGGAAACAGTTCCTATTATTTACTTAATGGAAGAAGGCAAATCATTTGATAAATGTTTTGAATCGGACTAAAAAAGGACACAGATTGAGATTAGGATGAAGGATTTTTATTACATCCCAGAGCACCAAAATAAATTATGTTGCAGTTATGTTTAACTGAAAGTTTTTCTAAATAATAAAGAGGAGACTCACTGGCATTTCTGAAATGCTATAGGAATGAGGAAGTGGAGATGCCAGCTCATGTTCATGTAATGTAATCAAATAATGAACGACCAATTTTTACGTTAAGTTATAGAATCACACAGTTATAAACAATTTACATAGAAGGAGGGGGTCATAGAGATAACCTATAGGAAAACAAGATGGATTTTTCCAGCCAAACTTGTCTTGGATCACAACTACCTTAGACATATTGTTAGATTTTATAAAGATATTTTTCCTCTCACACTTCACTTTCACTATCTAGAAGCCAAGTTGAGGCATTTTCCTTGATGAGGGGGATTTGTAAGGACTAGCTCAAGAGTGGAGTGGGCTTTAGGCAAAGCTAAATGCAGGGGAAATTATTGCTGTAGCTGCACCTAGTTTCAGTGTTTGAGCCCAAGCCCTATCCCCTCCCAAGCACCTCGAATTCCTGCAGACACAAAATCCACCACAGAAGCGGCTCCCTGCTCTTTTTACCAGTGCCCTGGGCTTAATTTCTCTTCGCCACCATCCAAAATTTAACAGTTCAAATATTTATTTCTTCAGGGTCTCAGTTTGTGAACATTAATTGGTACCAATACCCATAGTTCTTATGATGTAAAAGTAGTTTTCTTCCGAGTACATAGTTTGCATTTTAACAAAGGTAAAAACAAATGCCTTAGTTCAAAAGACTGGCATCATAGGGTTGTTAAAATTTAACTTCCTCCAGGAAGTATCCCCTGTCTCCCTCCATCCCCACAGGTTAAAATGTTATAGAAAGGCTCCCAAGCAAAGGGTACTTTTCCTGCCATGGCACTGAGCACCAATTACTGTGATCACTGTTTAACTGGCCCCCTTCTGGACCCACTGTGAGTTCTGTGTACGTTGCAGCCTCATATATATTCATATACGTATACTGCTCTATGAGTTCCCACCACCTAGTTCTGTGATGAAATACTTGGAGGACCTCAATAAATACTTGTGGACTGAAGAATGAATGAAGTGCTGAGGATTTCAGAAGCTATAGAAGAGTGAGGGGAGAGGAGAGCAGCATTTTCGAGGCCAGATGGTTTTTGTTTATGCTTCCTACTTAGTTATTTTATGAGGCTAGAAGGCCCTGCTGACCAACCTCAGAAAACGGCACTTGAAGATAACAGACACAGATTTCAATATCACTTTATGTGCTTTTAGAAACCCACTCAGCATTGGATGTAAATGGTTAGTTAAGGGGTGCAGTCTTAATCTGTTACAGCCAGAGGTACCGTTCATATACAGAAATTATACAAAAAAGTCATGGCATCCACGTTTTACTCAATGAGGGAATTCATTGTTCAGGTTGAAACCAACATGAAAATTACTCCCTCCACCAACAGGAGCAGAGAATGAGAAGAAAAACGAAAGTAAAATCTCCCCAGTATGACCTAGAATACAGCAGACCCTCCTTATCTGCTGTTTTGCTTGCTGAAATTTCAATTATCCACAGTCAACCTTGGTCAGAAAAGATTAAATGGAAAATTACAGAAATAAACATTTCATAAGTTTTAAGTTGCACGCTGTTCTGAGTAGCATGATGAAATCTCGCTCTGTCCCTCCCGGGACGTGAATCATCCCTTTGTCCAGTGTATTCCGCCAGGTAGTCACCTAGGTTATCAGATAACTATTGCAGTATCACGTTGCTTATTGTCAAGTAACCCTTATTTTACTTAATAATGGCCCCAAAGTAGTGATGCTGGCAATTCAGATACGCCAAAGAGAAGCCGTAAAGTGCTATCCAAATTTAATGTAGAGGTGAAAGTTCTCAACTTAATAAGAAAAAAAAAAATCATGTGCTGTGTTTGCTAAGATCTATGGTAAGAATGAATCTTCTCTTTGTAAAATTGGAAGAGGGAAAAAGAAATTCACATTCACCACATTAAGTGATAAGTGCTTAGTTAAGATGGAAAGGGTATTAAATCTGTAAAATAAGATATTTTGAGAGAGAGAGACCATATTCACCTAACTTTTAGTACAGTATATCATTATAATTATTCTATTTTATTATGAGTTGTTGTTAATCTCTTATTTGCCTAATTTATAAATTAAACTTTATCATAGGTATCTATGTATAGGAAAAAAACCTTAATATACATAGAGTTTGGTACTATCTGTGGTTTCAGGCATCCACTGGGAGGTCATGAAACATATCCCCTGCGGAAAAGGGCAGGGGGCTCCTCTGGCCGGATAAAAAAGAGAAAACAGCTTTGAGGGAAACAAAAATAAAAAGAGGAGTATTTCAATTATATCCCAAGTAAATAGTGGCTAGCATTCTGATTCAGTCTCTGGAGAGTATGAGACCTTCCTTAGCAATACAGTGATAAGAGCTCTTCTCAAAGTAAAGCAAACGTGGAGCAAGTGAATGAGAAAATATTGAGAACAGGGGCCAGCTAGACTGCAGCCTCTCAGAGCAGGCGGGGAAGGCTTGGCTGAAAAAGGAGGAAAGGAAAGTTTATCCTAGACCAGAGACTACTCTATTTGTCTTGCCCGTGGGAGTCTTCTTCAGTTCTCAGTGAGGAGGAATTGTGAGTTACATCAGAACTCCACTGTATGGAACATACATTTTTTTAGTACAGCTATGGCTAAGTCAACTGCATGTAGCTCTCAGTAATAAGGCATTTCAGTCATTTTCAATTCTTCTTTTTCTTTTTCCTTTCTCTCTCTCTCTCTGTCTCTTTCACTTCCCTTTGCAATTACGATATTTCACGCTAAAGAACCTCTCTGATGCTATGATAGATAAGTATATGTGGACCAGGTGGACCAATAAAGAAGTTAATATATAAAACAGCCAAAGCACAGTAAAAGCATCTAACTTCTACATGTTTAACATCTAACAAATCACGTGACATGTTCTGTTTATATACACACACACACAATCTCATTTAATTCCCCCAACAGCACTACTCTATAATAATTTTATGCCTATTTAAAAAAATTTTATTGAAGTATAGTTGATGTACAATATTATACGTTACAGGAGTACAGTATAGTGAGTCACAATTTTTAAAAGTTATATTGCATTTATAGTTATAAGATACTGGCTGTATTCCTCATGTTGTACAATATATTCTTATAGCTTATTTTATACCTAATAGCTTGTACCTCTTAATCTCCTACTCCTGTGTTGCCCCTCTCCTGTTCCCTCTCCCCACTGGTAACCACTAGTTTGTTCTCTGTATCTGTGAGTCGGCCTCTTTTTATTGTTATATTCACTAGTTGTATTTTTTAGAATCTATTCCATTTGGAATCTAAAAAATGCCTATGTTAAGATGAATAAACAAATCAGGTAAGTTAAGTAGCTAGGTCAATAACTAGAATGTGGAGCATGAATTCAAAGCCAGATTGTCTGGCTCCAAAGCCTTTATTCTTTTCCCTGCCTATCTTGGGAGATAACATGTACAAAGTAGGACCAAATGAGTGTTGCAATCATTGCTTAGCTTAGATAAAGATGTAATATCCTCCTTCATAGGGAATACATTTCCCTAGCCTTGAAGACGAAATTGCTTTAAAGCTACAAGATATAACTGAAGATTCAGAAGCTATCCATGCACAAGTTTTTAAACACAGCATCTTCATGGTTTCCTCCTTCCTTTAGCCTGGGTCAGTGGACAAAATGGCCATGTTCCTGGCGTAGAGATCTCATCCATTGTAGATGTTCCTGAATAGGTGCCTGAGGCTCCAAGGCTTAGGGGAGTCCCTCCAGGGTCCTGCACACCTTCCACAGGGCACCCAGATGAGTGGCATGCCCTGGCACCGGTTCAGGACCTACCACTTCTACTTCTTCCTATTTGACTTACAGTATGAGCTAGTACAGGATCAGAATGTTGATATATTTTAATTTGCTCATATGCCAAATTGCAGTGTTTATATTTGCAACTCTGAAAGTTGATGGGGAGAATAAATAGAATTGGAATTCATAAATATGAACGCCATGAAGTACTTTGAGCTTCACTAAAAGGGGAGATACACAAGACATTACACTGAGAAATTGTTTAGGAGCAGCAAATGGAGAGAAGCAACATTTTGTTTTAAAAAAAAAACCCCCACATCACAACCCTTTCATTATGTGCAGCACACAATTTAACAGGTGTGTGATTTATTCATTTATTCACAGACTCATGGACAAACCATTCCATCACAGCACCATTGTCTGTGAAGCAAAACACATTTACAACAAACTGTACCAGCTTCTTCAGAGACACTGAATTAGCTGATCTCCAGAAATCCTTTGCTGCCAGTTGAAAAGAGGGTTAATAATCACCAAAATGGTGAACATGAATAATTAAACTTGACCTCAATAAACTCTTTTCCATCCTGGGATTTCTGGGTCATCAATAACCAGTGCTTGATATGAAAGGAAAAAGTATTTTGGTGTATTATTTCCACTGGAGAAATAATGAAAAATAACAGTTTCTCTACATGCTTCCGGAATGGTCAATGACCCTGGTGGGAAATGTTCTATAGCCCTGCCCTTCCCACCTTCCTCAGTTCTTCTCTTGGAGGAAGATGGTCTTCTGATTGGTGAGACTAGGGAAAGTGTCCCACCTACTCGCCACATTTCCTTATTGGGCAAAGTTAAGTGTTGATAGGTCACTGTTCTTTTTCTCCTGGTTTCTTATACCCAAGTGCTCCTAGGAGCTGCACGTGCCTATCTCAAGTCTCCAAGAGGTTAGCTTGTCACTGATGGGTCCAGCTAAGTGACTTGTTCTTGCTTCTCCACTTGCAGGTGGGTAATAAGTCATGGTCCAGTGGATCCCCAGGTATAGATACTGAGCAGAGAACTAGGAGGTCCGGGCTGAACTTCCGTGCAGGTTAACAAAGCGCCCTGTGTTTTCTGGCCCTATCAGAAAACTGATCCTCTGCTTGGACGTCACAGTGTTACCCTATCCGGCTTTACTGCTGGTAAAGCTGCTGCTGTGCTCTGGTTCTCCAGTTGCTCCTTTTGCCAAGTTCTTAACTGCGTGGAATTGGAAGGTGAGGATTGGATGAGTGATTTTTACCCTGCCCCCCAAACTCCAATAGAACGGGAGCATCCCTGAAGAGAGGCAGGGCAGCAAGGAGATGGGAGGGGAGGATATCATGGAGGAATGGGTGTGCCTGTGGGTGTGTGTGTAGAGATAGCTACTTTTCACTTTCTGCCTGCCTTTAATACATTACAGTGTCCTAATATAAAAAACTAAAAAGCTATGTTCAAAACTGATCCCGGGGACTAGAATGCTGCTGGCACAGTGAGGAACATGCAATCGATAAGTAAACAGACCATGTCAGCCTGAGGAACTTTCAGAACAACATTTCTACTCCGGAAAAAATAAATAAATAAATAAAAGTAGATTGAGTCTATTTAAATATTCCCCAAGATCTCTGTTAAATTTCAGGTAATAATGTTTCTTCCTTTGAACCTCATTGCATGTTTGCCTTTGACTGAAAATAGCCTGAGCTAGACACCATTTGATATTCACCCTGTGACTATTTTAGTATTGGGGCTGGACCAAAAGAAATTCATGCTCACTGAAATGATTTTCACTTACTGAAACGAATTCACTTTTTTCTTCCTTCAGCAATTCATCAATCTAATGGGAGAAACAGAAGCTATCATAATAATGAGAATAGACTTCTAGGAGCAGCAGCCAATATCAATACTTTAATAATGCAAATTCGATTGCTATATATTTGGCTTCAATTTTTAATTAAGTTTTTTGCCATTGCATGATCCTCTCTCTCTCTCCACACACACACACACAAACTTTATATATATATATATATATATATATATATATATATATATTTTATAGCACAGGTATCACATTTGACCAGATCCTATTATCTCTGGACAACATTAATAATGACATGGAGGATATCACTATTATCATCGTCATTATCATCATCTTGATAAACATTTTTAGAACGTTTTGAATGTGGCTGTGAACTGCGTTTTGGATAAAGTAAATACCTCCTGTATGATATATCCCAAAACAATAACAGTAATTGAAAATTATAGAGAATGTTTTTTAAAGTAACATATTAACATCATATATAAGTATCAGAATTTCATAATGTGTCATGGCTTAACTTATATAACACAGGACACTCTTAAACTAGAAGGGCTACCAAATTCTATTATTTCATTGTTTATGTATAGAACAATTTTAATTATTTTTAGAGGTAAGTGGTTCTGAGCAGCAGGCATCTATCTACCTAAGAATGGTATGAAATCCTGTGGCTTCTCCCATCTTGTCCCTCTATCTTCAGTAAGATGCTCTGGGCATCCCATAGTTAGCAGGCAGTTCCCAGTCTCTCGCTCCTGCATTTCTGACCTGTTCCTGGGCTATTTCCAGCCTGTTCCTGACTCTGCTTTATTGTCCCCTACTCTCTATCTCCTTTTATTCCTTGAACCAGGCCTTTGATTTTGGGTTCCCTTCAAGGACTCTTGCCTCCCTTTCTATCTGCTTGAAAAGGGATAACCCACCCCAGCAGACTCCAGATACAGCTGCTGACCTAGTTTCTCTGGTGGGTGGATTTGGACAGCACAGATTCAGACTGTAATGCGGTTGTTCTTCATCCTTCTGTATCCAGTCATTAAACATTGGATTTCCACAAGGCTTAGCCCTGGGTGGAAGAAGGAAAGTCTACACTGGTTTATAAAAGAGTTACTAGATTCTGAGAACCATGCTAAGAGTTTTAAATTCCTCATGCCATTTCATATTCCCAACAGTGTTATAAGGTAGGAAATATTATTGTCTCTGTTTTATAGATAGGAAAATTTGGTTTAGAGTATTTGCTCCATTTCCTCATGGGTGCACAGTTAGGAGGAAACCGAGCTGGGCTGCAAATCCAGGCAGTTTTACTCCAGGACCCCTGCCCTCAATCACCACTCTGTATTGCATGGGTTACATGGAATCTCTAAGTGATCTCATCCACGCTTACGAGTGCAATTACCATCAAAGCATGATGACTCCTGAACTTCAGGTCCCTCCTCCAGATCTCCATTCGGATGTCTCAGAAACACTTCAAGCTAAGCATATCCAAAAGTTAACATAATTATTTTCCCCTCCAAACCCAGTCCTCTTAAGTGTTCCCTCCATCAGGGAAGGACAGAGTCCTCCATTTAGTGGTACGAGCTAGACACCTAGGCATAATTCCTGACTCATCCCTCTCCTCTCCTTTAATCCTGTATCAAATCCATTATTGAGTCCTGTCACTGATACCTCCGAAATGTGTCTCAAAGCAGTCTTCTTCTCCCCATCTCCACTGCCACCCGCTTTGCCCAAGCCACGGTTATCATTCATCTGACCCGGTTCCATAGACCCCTGAGTGGTGTTCTCACTTCCAACCTTGGCCCTCTTCGTCTGTTCTTGACACTGCAGTATAAGAGGACTTTTTAAAATGCAAACTGACCATATCATCCCCTGCTTCACATGGTTCTCGTTGTTCTTAGATAAAGAACTGTCTGCTTAGCTGGACCAGCAAGGCCCTGCAAAGTCTGACCTCTGCCTGTAGCTCCAGCCTCATGCGAATCTCCTTCTCTCTGTTCTCTGTACTCAGGACCACTTGCTTGCTTTCATGTGGACATCTTCAACCCACTGCAGAGGAAAAATGCTGTTTCCTCTGTCTGAAATGCTCTTCCCACCAAGTCTGATTAACTTGCTCATTCTTCAGTTCTTAGACCACATGTCACTTCTGCAGGGACACCTTCTTGCCGCACCACCCCCGACCTTCCCAGACTAGGACAGGTACTCCTGTAATATATCTTTATAATACCCTGAACCTCACTGTCGTAACACTTACCTCTGTTTGCAATAATGCTTTTTTTAATGTGATTATTTACTCAACCACTCTCTTCCCTGTGGGAATATAAACTCTCTAAGGGCAGAGACCAAGTCAGTTTTTGCTGAACATTGTATCCCCTGCAGGCATTGATAAATATTCATTGAACGAATCCAAGTTGACTTCTAAAACACAACAGAATTCATTTTAAATGCAACAGACTAAATGGCAAGAACTAAATCTCTGTTGAGTGATAGGGAATATATTAAATTTTAAGGTAGTTAAAATTTTTTGACTCAAAACTCTCTTCTGTTGTAAGCCTCTTACCACACTCTGAATTGTATAATCCTTTTAATTTTCTTACTGACATATGACAAAAGGGTATGATCTAATCTTTTCCATCCTTGGGTCTTGAAACTTGGCCTCACTGCAGTGTGTGGCAGCCACAGGGTGCTTTGGGATACTGGCTTGGCTGCCCCCTTTCCACCACACTCACTACACTTCCCTGCATCTTCAACCATTTGGGCTTCCCAGCTACCCTGCCTTCAACTCAGAACCTGTTGCTGGCCCTTGGTTGGGGTGATTCTTAGGCTCTATTTTTTGCTCCACCCTTGGATTTTGTGTCCCTACAGCTTCAGCAGAAGTGGGGAGTGCAGGGCTGGGGATGGAAGGAAGAGAGGATGGCATTGGGAATACTCATGGTTGGGCTCATTCCAGAGGCATGGCAGGAGGGAAATTTGTGAAGGTCTGACCTAGAATTCAAACAGTCTAGAAGAAAGAACAGGGAGTGTTGAGAATTGCATGAAAAGATGAGATACTAATAGGATTCAATATTTTCAGTGTGCTTTGGGGAAATGATTAAGTGCCAGGTCTTCTAACTCTGAATCTCTGAGACTGGCCCAGAAATCTGTACTTTAATATGCAGCCCAGGTAATTTTGATGCATGTGGTCCCTGTACTGCACTTTGAAACAACAGTGGCATAGAGTCACCTTTTATTCAGAGCACTGTTAACACTTATTCTCAAAAAAAAAAAAAAAAAAAAAAAAGCCCATATTCTTAGCTCTACTGACTTGCTTGGAACAAGATACATATATTCCACAAATGGGCTGATCCTCTGGTCCCTTCTATTAAATATATTAATGGCTATTATTGTGTTTTTATGCTAAGAAGCATAGAGGAGCAGTTACCTGTTTTTCTTTGTGAATCCCAGGAACATCTGTTGCTTAACACCTGGCGTTCTCTGTGACAGGTGTATGCTCGAGATAGCAATGGTAAAAAATCAGATGATGTTGGCTCAGATCACGATTTGCAGCCTGTCACTCCTGCCAAATGGGTCAGTTGAGACGGAAACCACAATTTGAGCAGATGTGTATTAATAAGTTAGGGAAGTGTGACAATTTAAAGGCAAGAGGACGAGAAGACGGGCTGTCTTGTGAAGTGGGAGAGGCAGTTTTCAACTGTCCAGGAAGATCATTTTCTTTCTTCCTCTTTGTAAGTTTTCATTCCCTCCTTACTCGTCCCCCAAAGCTTTAGGTACTTCCAAAGCCTATGAAGGAGATAGAAGTTGGAACGTTGTTTGAACAAAAGAAAGCAGTTGTGTCGAGTGGAGACCTCAGCTGGATACTGTTAGATTGTCTGGTTCAAACCTTCCACTACGTAGACAAGGAAATGGAGGCCTGGGGACATTATGCGATTGAGCCCAAGGATGGGCTACTTTATCTTTTATTCTGTCTGGAACCCAAAGCACAGCTAAAGTCCAGGTGTCAGATGTAGTTTATTATTCTTCCCACATTATCACAACATGGTAACTCAAAGAGTTCTAGGCAAGGGAAATGGTCAATGATGTTCTCTCCACTACAGTGGAGATTGTATGACTGCAAGCACCTTGCCTGTCTCGTTCTTCACTGTAACCTCAGCGTTTAAAACAGTGCCAAGCACATTGTGAGTAATTGGTACGTCTCAAGAAGCCCTGTTAGCTTCTACTTCTGTGTTTTTGGGAACCTTGAGCTGCCTAGAAGAAGTCTGGCTACTCTGATGGAGATACCAGGTGGATAGACCATGTGCCAAACCAGAACCTGGGAGTGAGACCGTATTTGGAAATAGGGTCGCTGCAAATGGAATCAAGTTAAAATGAGGTCATATGGATTAGCGGAACCTAAAGCCAGTGGCTGGTATGCTCATAAGAAGGCCATGTAAATACACAGATACACAAGGGGAAAAGGCCATGTGATGACAGAGGCAGAGATTTTAGTGATGCAGCTGCAAGTCAAGGAACCTCAAGGACTGACAGCAACTGCCAGAAGCTAGAAAGAGGTGAAGAGGGATTCTTCCCTAGAGCCTGCAGAAGGAGCGTGGCCCTGCTGACACCTTGATTTTGGACTTTTAGCCACCAGAACTGTGAGACAATACATATCTGGTTTTGTTTGTTTGTTTGTGTGTTTGTTTGTTTTGCATTACATGGGTCTCTCACTGCTGTGGCCTCTCCCGCTGTGGAGCACAGGCTCCCGACACGCAGGCTCAGCGGCCATGGCTCACGGGCTCAGCCTCTCCGCGGCATGTGGGATCTTTCCGGACCGGGGCACGAACCCGTGTCCCCTGCATCTGCAGGCGGACTCTCAACCACTGTGCCACCAGGGAAGCCCACATATCTGTTGTTTTAAGCCACCAGTTTGTGGTACTTTTTTTTTTTTACAGCAGCCCTAGGAAACAAATATAAGAGAAGCAGCCTTGGAACTACATGGAGAGGGAATGAAGACCAGCTATACAGCATTCTGGTTGGTTCTTCAGGTGACTCTAGGCCCAGCTGTCATCTGACCACAACCACACGAGAGACCCCAGGTGTGACAAGCAGAACTGTCAAGGGGCCTCGGACACATGAGGATCCACGGCATGGGGCGTCTTGGACATTCCAGCCCAGATGACTGCAGCCCCAGCTGTCATCACCTGCGATAGAAGAACCACGCACCAGAGACAGTCCACCCACTGAATTGTGAGAGAGAATAAAACAGTTGTTTTAACCACTACATTTTGGGATGGTTTTACTACACAGCGAGAGATAACCAAAATATTTGGATTCCTCAGAAGCAGCCTCTGAGATAAGGAAGTGATTTATTAGGAGGTACTCCCAGGAATACTAGAAGTGAATAGGGAAGTGGGACAGCAAAAGGAAGACAACCAAGCCAGGATGTGGCATCAGACAAAGTCCCACGGAGGGTAAGTTTGACCTAATCTTGTCAGGAACACTGGAGACAGTGAAAGTCCTAACTCAGCATTGACCCCATCAGGGTCAAAAACACTGGTGTAGCTAAACCCCTTCACCCTTCAGTCATTGGTTAAGAGCTGGCCCAGGGACAGATAAACTCTCAGTCACTTCTGGCTCTTTGGGAGGGGTGGGGAGGAGGTTAGGGGAGGTTAGCAGCCTGAGGGCAGCTCTTCAGCAAGGAGACACAGGTGCCAGGAGTGAAGATGCTCACAGAAGCAGGGGATGTAAATTAGAAAAGGGAGGGTAAGCCGTTCATCCCAGTTTGCCAGGGACTGGATTTAAAATGGAAAGCCCCACATCTTGGGAACCTGCTCAGTTCCAGGCAAGTCAAACAATTAGTTGGTCACCCTAGAAAGGGATCCCAGGGGACATGGGCAGAGCCTGACAGCATCTGCTATAGCGGATGCGTGAATATCTCTAAACTGGAGAGAGTGGGGCTCACAGGACTCGTCAGAGGCACCTCTGTAAGAGTCCAGGGATGTTGGACTTCAACCAGCAGTCAAGGACCCTCTTAATGATAAGAGCCTGTGACCTATGACAGGTATAAATGATTTCAAACTGTTTCAAACACTGCAGAAGGGCCGAGGATGATCAGAGTGGGGAACTGTCTTTTAGTTTGGCAATTAGAGGCATGGGTGAAAGAAGAGGGGCAGACACACAATGGTACAACATGAAACTCAACAATGGGTAGACAGCGCAGCGTCCTCCATGGACGAGGGTGTAAAGGGAACAAGAAACCTGGGAGTTAGAGGAATGACGGGGGACAGGAAGAGATGAATTCAGTGCTAGGATGTTTTTAAAAATGTCTGTGTTGCATAATGATCATTTTTGGATGTTTTCTCAGGGAAAAGAGCTCATGGATGAAAATGAAGGTAAAAGGTAGTCAGGGGAGGGGTGAGACTGGTGGCTGATGGTTCCAGTAGGGGGAAGAAATGAAGTCCCAGTCACTTCAATTACAAGCCGAGAAGCTGATTTATGTAATGAACAGAATGGAAATAAGGATTTTATTAGCAGGAATGAGAACTCTTCAGTGAGAAAAAGCAAAGAGAATGGGGAGATTTCATTAAGGTTTATAGATTAATGAATGGTCTGAGGACAGTAAACATAAATATGTTCATTTAATCTCAGCATATTAGATGAAAGGTGTTTGTTTTTCAACCAAGAAAGAAATGCTTATAGGATAAACAAAAGGAATGCTATTTTATTTAATTCAACAAGGAAATGTATGGAAGAATCCCTGCTCACAGGGTGTAATATGTAGGCTAAATTGATAAAGAGGTTCAAGACAGGTTTGGATAAATTACTGAGTGCAAATCCATATCAGATTAATAAAGAAAGATGTTTAAGATTTTCTTGTTTATTTTTTCATATGTATTTCATTTGATTTGAATATTTAGTAAATGTAAAAGGCCATACAGTGAAAACTTGCTCTCTTAACCCCTGTTCTACATCTCCCCAGTCCCTGCCTCTCCCAACAAGTAATCACTATTATGGATTTTCTTTTATCTTTTAAAATACTTTTTAAAGTGCATATACAGGCAGATAAGAATAAATTCCTTGAAGGCAAAGAGTTTAATCTGTTTTGTTTGCAGTCATATCCTCAGAGTCTAGAAGAGTTCCTGGGACATCAAAGATGTTCAATAAATATATATTAAATGATCAAATATATTTACCCCCACAATTGTTAAACGAATAGCAGCATCCTATACATACTTGCTTCTTTGCATATTGCTTTGTGTATTTGAAAATACGTCCTTGAGATATTTCCTTATTTGTACATAAAGGCCTTCATCCTTTATTTTTTTTATTTTATTTTTTTTTGCGGTACACGGGCCTCTCACCGCTGTGGCCTCTCCCGTTGTGGAGCAAAGCCTCCGGACGCGCAGGCTCAGCGGGCATGGCTCACGGGCCCAGCCGCTCCGCGGCATGTGGGATTTTCCCAGACCGGGGCACGAACCCGCGTCCCCTGCATCGGCAGGCGGACTCTCAACCACTGCGCCAACCAGGGAAGCCCCCGTCCTTTTTTTTAGAGCTGAGTTATAGTCCATTGTATGGATGTGCCATAATTTATTCAACCAATCTCACTAATGACCACCTAGTTAGTTCCCAAGTTCTTGTTTTTACAAATGTCAGTGCAATGAATAATCTTGTGTGATTCTTGTATTTGTAGGATAAGTTTTCAGATGTGCAACACCAGTTTTTAAGAAGTCATGTCTTCCCTTAAATGTCTCAGATAGTGGTGACAGAATTCTTGATCAAATGGACCACTGACCTGCCCTGCATGACATTTCTTATGTGTTTTTCAGTGGTCATTGCTAACGCCAGGTGTCTTTGGCCTGCTTAAAAAAAAACCAGAGAGATTTGCAGGATGAGAAATAGTAGAGTATAGGAAGCAGTGAAATTGACACATGGATGTTTAAGATCAGGCTGAAACATCACTGCAGAATCGAATCTAAAATCCCAGCTCTTGTGTGGCCACTGCTTGGATGGCTAAGCTGGCTGTCTTCACTGTGAGAGATAGGTCTTAATTGCCGCTGTATCATAATACACATCTATGTTTTTACTTCTTTTCTAAGGACAATTGAGTACCCAGGGTTCTTTGCTGATCTTGCTTCACCATAGCCTCTTATTTTCATCATAGCCTTGGGGCCTTGATCTTCTTATTTTGGTCAGACTGTGACACCAGGGACATCAGGCTGAAATGACAGCATCCCCCTTGGTTTATCTCAGTGTTGTTTCTTACAGGGGAGGGCAGAGCCGAACTGCACGTGGATGATGGTGCTAAAAGAGAACAGTCTCTGAATCCTTAACCCAGACACACGTGGCTATGCTTCTGTTCCCTGCCATGTTTCCTTTGGAAACATGAAAATAATAATACATGCCCTGCACCCATTGAAGGTGTGGTGGTGAATATTAATAAGCTTCAAAATGCAGTTTGAGCTCTTCAGCCCTGAGGTTCTTGATAAAAATTGGGGTATAGAGTTAGTGAGATAAAGAAGCACATTCCAACCATGACCATTTTTCATTGTAGAGTACCTTGACAACTGCTTTAAGCCTCGCACTCCAATACAATACCTAGGAACTTTCAGTACAGCGCATGTGTATTTTTAATATTCAGCTTTATCTTCTTATGTACTAACTGCCGGAGACTGTGGTCGTTTAGTCAATCAGCAGATATGTTTTAGATGTTCACTGGATTCTGTGGAGGCATCAGTCTCAGAAAGAGCCCTGGGCTCCTGCCCAGGAGATTGGCTTTTCTACGACTCCTCCCCAACCACCTGAAAGCCTGTGAGCAGCCGCTTCACCGGAGCCTCAGTTTCCTTTTCAGCAAATCAGGGTAATGACTCCTGCCCTGTGCGTCTCTGTGAGTGAATGGGAAAGCTCAGTGACAATGGATGGACAGGCTGTTTTGTAGGATACGGTCCATTAAAGATTACTATGACTATTAACGTCTATGCAGGGTACTTCCTCACATGGGAAAGAAAACTGAGATGTCAGGAAACAGGGGCCACACACCCCAGGCCAGGGCTTCCCAACCTCAACTGAACTACAGACTGGTAATATATCTAAGTTTTCTACTGTGATATATCAAAATCACATAGGCCTATATATGTATAAAATATGTACACAGGATATATGTAAAATATGCATATATGGATATAAAATATAGGGATACCAATACTTCAGTGATAGCAACAACAAAAAGATCTTCCTTTCAGTCAGATCACACTGAACTGGCCTATGACGCAAGTTGGTTTTCTGCCCCCTGAAGAGACAAGAAATGTCAAAAGGGCCAATGCCAAACTCAGAGCCCTGCCAGCCCACGTTCCAGCCCCGGGAACAGGCTCGTGGCCTTTGGATGCCCTTAGGAGCCTGGTACAACTCCATTGCAAGAGCTCTAGGGACTCAGTGAGAAGGGGGGAGAAAAAAACCTGTTGATCCTTTTTTTTTCCCTGAAAGTGGACAGCTAACTGAGGGCTTGGTGATGCTGGTGCCCATGGTGGCGATGAGAGTCTAGGAGAAAGTGAAAATTCACTCGTTTCCACTCAAATGCCTACTGGGCTCATCAGGTAATGTAGAAGAGTGAAACAGCCGACATAAGAATTCTTATCATCCAGTGTCGTTATATTTCGTAATCAGAACTGCAACGGACTGAGGTTCAACAGAGGGTATCGATCCTCTTGATCTGAGGTCACAGGTGGGATGCAGGCTTCGTGTTGTGGCATCCTCCGATTTTTAGTTGAGGTCTAATGAATTCTATGTGACATTATTCTAAGTTTTGGATGTTGGCGTGTGTATACATGTACTTATACATACATGCACAGATCATTATGTGAGGCAAGCTGGGGTGGTCTCCTGGGGATCCCTGGACCCTCAGGGGTGGAGTGGAGATAGTGGTGCCAGGCACAAGGAGCAGACATGATTATAACTCAACAATATCGTGGTCTCTCCTTCTGGAACTCAGCCTAACCTCCAAGGTGTGGGAAGAGAGGCTGCTGGGCCATGACGGAAACGTTCATCAATTTCTTAGGGACTGGCAGCTGAGAAAGACTCCTTTACAACTGTTTTAGATTCCCCGTGTGATTTGTCAAGGATCAGGGGTTCCCCCGGCCGTAAGAGAGTTAACAGGCAGATAATGGAACTATGCTTTGACAGCTGTGTGGGTTTCTAAGCGAAAACACTGTGCATTGTATTACAGGAAATGAGGGTCTGGGAAGTGGTCTTGGTGACTCCTAGAATCATAAACGCTGGCTACTTCTAATAAGGGGAAAAGGTAAACAGGCCAATGATTAACTTCGTTGCACTTGTGAAATAGAAGAGCTGAAATGTAAGAGCTAAGCAACAGGCCTCCTGTAAGGTAATTCTGGGGAACTGCTTTGCTCCAGAACTGGAAGGATAAGTACTTCCAAATGACTCATTGTCTTGTTTCTTTTGACTCCCTGGAATTTCCCAAATGCTAAGCGACAGGCAAGAAAGTGTCTGCCAGGGCACAGACTAGAACTATAAGTCTAGATAGGGTACTTCTATTCAGTTGATTATTTCAATTTTCTCACCCATTAAAGGGTATAGCAAAGAACACCTTTTCATACACCGTGAAAGCTGATTTGGAAACCAAAGGCTTGATTCTTTTCTTTCACTATTAAGCCTGTGTGTAGAAATCAACCACACCTAATATAATCACACCTGTTTCTATTTTGATGATGAGATCAAGGGATTTATAAGCTGAGGCGTATAACCCCAGGGAAGCGGGAGGGTAGGAAGTGGTGCAAATCAACACACGTTGAGCACCCAAAGATGCAGTCATGTCCACGGTCGCATTTAATACTCACAGCTTCCCCAGAGGGAGGTGTCATTACCTTCATTTTCTAATGAAACGAGTTTTCTTTTTGAACGTTTGTTCTAATTGGAAATCAAAGTGAAAAATAAAAGTGATACACAGGAAACAAGGGAAGGAGGGAAAGAAGGGAAACATTAAAAGCTACATTCTCCTCACTTACCTTTAACTGATCTGATTAATCCTTACTTTCCTTCCTCTGGACAGCCCTTGAGGGTAAGCACTTCCAATCCTTGGTCCTTTCCCAGTCTCTGTTTCTGAAAGATCTTACCTACTCCAGGTTTGAGGTACAGCCTCCTGAAAGACGACTCACATCTCTAGCCCTGATTCTGTCCTAATTCCAGACCTGTGCAGGCTTGCTGGCTCCCAGCTACCTGAGGGCTCCCAACCCTACCTAAATGGGCAGGGCTGAACTGCTCACGGGCAATGGGTGTGTGTGAGGCCAGAGTCACTCCAGCCCCTTCCAGAATCCCGGTGAGAGCAGGACCAAAGAGCATCTGCCTAAGCCAGGAGGTCAGAAATCTGACTGAAGGGGGCACCTTGGATCGGCAGTACCCTCTGGAAATAATGGGGCTGCTGAGTGGTTTCCAAGGGCCTTGTGTTTTCTGGCGTCCTGGGCATTTTGGATCCCCTCCCAGGTGTGTTCACTGCATGGGGACACCCATCCAGTATCCCTACCAAATCCTATTTCCCTACCAGCCCCAGGGCCTGGGAAGACCAGCTCTTATACTCGTTCTCCACAATCTGGCTTTACCTACTTTAGCATTTGGTATCATATCCACTCTGCTCTGACCCATGTCCCTGGATTGAAACCTAAGGATCGCCACTTCCTGACTCCAGACTGGACTAAATCGTGACATCCCTGAGCAGACTCAGTCTTTGCCATATGGACCCCCTCCAAGGAACGGAGGCTTGGTCCATTTTCTCATTTTCCATTTTAGTTTCAAGTCAGGTTCCTCCACCATCTCCCATACCAACTACTGACTGACAGTCCCAGCAGCTGCCTGTTTGAGTGTATCCACATGCATGTTTTGAACATGCTTCAAATCCCACGAGACTCAGATAAAGTAGGGCCTCTCTCCTGACCCTGCCTCTGGTTCCTTCTCTCTGTTCAAATGGAAGAAGGGTCAGTGGCAGAAGGCCTAGAATGGTGTAGTTGTCATCCATAGCTACGAAGACTTCCTCACTTATTTTCCACTGATACCTCTCTGGAAAGTCATGACTGGTGTCTTGTCTCCCTCCCTCACTCAGCTCCCTCTGCCCTTTTTGTGTGGCTTTGCCACTAACTGGGTGACTTGGGTCAAAGTTCTTCTTCAAGCTGTTCTGAAAATTTAATACAGGCATACCTTGTTTTATCGCACTTCACGTTACTGTGCTTCACAGATATTGTGTTTTTTACACATTGAAGCTTTGTGGCAACCCTTTGTTGAACAAGTCTATCAGCACTAATCTTCTAACAGCATTTGTTCACTTCGTGTCTGTGTCATGCACTGGTAATTCTCACAACATTTTGAACTTTTTCATCATTATAATACTTGTTATCGTGATCTGGGGTCAGTGATCTTTAATGTGACAATTGTAATTGTTTTGGGGCACCACGAACCATGCCCATATAAGATGGCAAACGTAATGGATAGATGGTGCATGTGTCTGACTGCTCCACTGACTGGCTGTTCCCCAGCACTCCCCTCCTTGGGCCTCTCTAATCCCTAAGACACAGTAATATTGAAATTAGGCCAATTAGTAGCCCCATAATGACCTCTAAGTGTTCAAATGAAAGGAAGAGTCGCACGTCTCTCACTTTAATTCAAAACCTAGAAATGATCAAGCTTAGTGAGGAAAACATGTCAAAAGCTGAGACAGGCTGAAAGCTTGGCCTCTTTTGCCAAACAGTTGGCCAAGTTGTGGATGCAAAGGAAAAGTTCTTGAAGGAAATTAAAGTGCTACTCCGGTGAACACACGAGTGATAAGAAAGAGAAACAGCCTTACTGCTGATATGGAGAAAGTTTTAGCGGTCTGGATAGAAGATCAAACCAGCCATAACATTCCCTTAAGGCAAAGCCTAATTCCAAGGAAGGCCCTGACTCTCTTCAATTCTGTGAAGGCTGAGAGAGGTGAGGAAGCTACAGAAGAAACGTTTGAAGCCAGTGGAGGCTGGTTCATGAGTTTTAAGGAAAGAAGCTGCCTCCATAACATCAAAGTCCAAGGTGAAGCAGCAAGTGCTGGTGTAGAAGCTGCAGTAAGTTATCAGAAGATCCAGCTAAGATACTTCATGAAGGTAGCTGGCTACACTAAACAACAGATTTTTCAACATAGGTGAAACAGTCTTATATTGGGAGAAGGTGCCAGCTAAAACTTTCATAGTGGCCCAGGAGTCAATGCCTGCCTTCAAAGTTTCAAATGACAGGCTGACTCTCCTGTTAGGGGCTAATGCAGCTGGTGACTTTAAGTTGAAGGCAATGCTCATTTACCTTTCCCAAAGCTCTAGGGCCCTTAAGAATTCTGCTAAATCTATTCTGCCTGTGCTCTATAAATGGAACAACAAAGCCTAGATGACAACGCATCTTTTTACAACATAGCTTATGGAATACACACCCACAGTTGAGACTTACAGCTCAGAAGAAAAGTTTCCATTTAAAATATTACCACTTATTGACAATGCACCCAGTCACCCAAGATCTCTGATGGAGATGTCCAATTAGATACATGTTGTTTTCATGCCTGCTAACACAACAACCATTCTGCAGCCCACGGATCAAGGAGTCATTTCGACTTTTAAGTCTTAGTATTTAAGAAATACATTTCGTAAGACTATAGCTGCCTTAGATAGTGATTTCTCTTATGGAATCCGGGCAAAGAAAATGAAAACCTTGTGGAAAGCATTCAACATTCTAGATGTCATTAAGAACATTCGAGATTCATGGGAAGAGATCAAAACACTTACATTAACAGGAGTTTGGAAGAAGTTGATTCCAACCCTCATGGATGATTCTGAGGTGTTCAGGACTTCAGTGGAGGATGTAACTGCAGATGTGATGGAAATAGCAAGAGAACTAGAAATAGAAGTGGAGCCTGAAGATGTGGCTGAGTTGCTGCAATCTCAGGATGAAACTTGAACGGATGAGAAGTCGCTTCTTATAGATTAGCAGAGAAAGTGGTTTCTTGAGATGGAATCTACTCCTAGTGAAGATTGTTGAAATGACAACAAAGGATTTAGAATACGATATACACTTAGTTGATACAGCAGCGGCAGGGTTTGAGAGAATTGAGAAATCATGATTTCTCTACAGAGAAATCATTCGTGAAAGGAAGTGTCAATCGATGCAACAAAATTTACTGTCACCTTATTTTAAGAAATTGGCCACAGCCACCCTATCGTTCAGCAACCACCATCCTCATCAGTCAGCAGCATCAATAGTGATGCAAGACCCTCCACCAGCAAAAAGATGACGACCCTTTGAGGGCTCAAATGATGGTTAGCATATTTCAGCAATAAAGTATTTTTAAATTAAGGTATTTATATTTTTTAGACATAATGTTATTACACACTTAATAGACTACAGTATAGTGTAAACATAACTTTTATATGCACTGGGAAATAAAAAATTTGTGTGACTTTATTGCGGTGGTCAGGAACTGAACAACAGTATCTCTACGGTATGCCTGTACGTATATTAAGTTCCTTTCAAAACAGTAGTTGCTCAATAAAGGATTATTATAATTTTAAAAATGTATTACACTATAACCAGCTTGACTTACCGTTGCCCTCCCACGTCATATATCTTTACCTTTCTCAGATTGAAAGTATTATCGCATAAAGGGTTCAAGTCTACTACTGTGGGGCCTTGGGCATGTTACTTAGCTTCTCTGCAGCTCAGTTTCATATCTGTAAAATGGAAATAATACCTCCCTCACTCAGTTGCAAAATGAAATCTGGTAATATAGATAAGACGCTCAGCACAGTGCCTGGCATATAGAGTGACAATCACTATATTTGTGCCTTTGTTCACGTTAGTCTTCTTAGAATACTGCTTCTCCTCTTCTTCATTTTGCAAAATTCCAGAAGAAAGACCTGGTTGAAACTTCATTTCTTCCTCGTGGATTCATGTTTCCTCAATTGTGTTCCACTGCATTCAGGTCTATTATTACAGTTTATTGCATGATACATATTTGATTTACCACTTTCCCTGCTTGACTCCTTATCCTGGTATTGATTTTACCTTTCCTTTCTCCCAATGTTCCTCTAATACTTCCTCTCAACCACCTGATCCCTTACTGTAACACACCCCCATGACTTTGTGTCTTTCCTTCTGCCAGGAATGGCTTTTCCCTATTTTTCTTTGCTACTGGAATCTTACTCATCCATCAAGGACCAACTCTATGAATCCTTCTCTGTCTCCTCCAAGTTAGAATTACTTTTTTCAACTAGCTTCAGTAACGCTGTTTATTTCTCTGTTAGGAAACTTAGCATTATAACATTTTAATTATATGCACCTATCTTTCCCATTAGACTGTGAGCTCTTGGAGGGAAGGATAATGTCTTATTCATATTTGTTTCCCTCAGTACCTAATATTGTGCTCAAAATATAGGAGTAATTCATCAAATTTTTGTTGTATTTGTACTACTTAAATGTACTAAATAGCATCGCCTAAACCAATAGGTCAGACATATGACGGAAGGTGACACTTCTGGATCAGCAGTACCTTCTGTAAAGCTCATGGGCTGCTGAATGGTTTCCAAGAACCAGATGAATAAGTGGTTTAAAATGTATCACAATATCTATCTGAAATAAAATATCCAGTCATGAACATAAGTATAAGCTAACATTTAATGACTAACGAAGTCCAGGAAGCGTAAAAGAAACCAGGTCATATGCAAGGGCAATAGATCAGTGAAACTACGAAAAAAACCTAATAAACTCTGGCTGTGATTTTTAGTCCCTGTGTATTATGAAGAATTCTTACTGAAATTTATGCTTGTGGAAAATTGGCCAGCCTCAGTCTCAGCATGGTTGGGTCAGGGACATTTCCTGTTATCAATAGGAAGCTGCTATACAATTAAATGGATTAATGATGCAGTGAACCGAATTAGTTGTTTTCTTACAGCCAAGTAATTGAACTCGTTGTGCATTCTACATATTTTTAGTTGTACAAGCATGATCTTTGAATCTATCATGTAAGAAGATGCTTGGGCTGCTTTAGCCTACTGATTCGAGAAGCAGTAAAAGGAACTGGGTTTAGTTAGGAAGGCAGTAAAGTAACATCAATAAAATGGTGCAGGGGATGCACATTTGACACACTCAGTAGGTTTATGGAGACAATGAT